ATACTTGTTTCAAATTGTGAGGAGAGCAAAGCTTGTTTGGTAGACTTGCCTTAACCATCAAGACACTTTTAAAAGTCGAGGTAAGCTAAGCGTTCTGCGTACAATATGTTAACAGTGGAGTTGGGATGCACATTAATGTTCCACTTGATTGCGACCTAGAGGGGAGGGAAAAGGACAGAATGTCCCCATTTTTTGGTTTCTTCAATCTACTAAGAAGAAAGAAATACAAGGGCTTTTGTCCTGTCTTCTTTGAAACTACATGGACCTCAAGTAAATATATTTCCTGATATGAGGTGGTACTTTCCAAAATCCATTAGCTAGTGCTTATTTGCACCTGATGACGAAATGTTTCTCTATCAATTTTATGAAGGATGGTTAGCTCCCTTGTTGAGAAAATTTGCCTTGGTCCTGGTGGAGTGTATTCTTACCATTAGCTGATATAATATCTGCCTCATTTTGTTATGCTTAACTTTTTGCTTTTGTAGGCTAGTGAGTCTATCAGGAAGGAATATGATCGGAAGTGTGACCAGCTTAGACACCAATTTGCAAAGGATCTTAGTGCCCAAGTCATTGATAAAACTCGGGCAGTGGTGAAAGATCTGCATTCTCGGATTAGAGTGGCGCTCCATGCTGTTGATTCAATATCGAAGAGGATTGAGAAAATGAGAGATGAAGAGTTGCTGCCACAACTTCTAGAACTTATTCATGGGTGAGATTAATTTAATATTTTATATTTATTTTAGAAGACATTTTGATCTGCACATCTTATTCTCATTTGATGATTCATAAATCCATGACCAACGGGTTGGATGCAGATTGATTAGGATGTGGAAGGCGATGCTTGAATGCCATCATGCCCAGTACATAACCATCTCCTTAGCATACCATGCAAAAAGCTCGGGAGGAACACCCCAGGAAGATACACAGAGGCAGATTATGGCTCAGCTCCAGGATGAGATAGAATGTTTTGGTTTGAGTTTTGCAGATTGGATCAACAGCCATACATCGTATGTGGAAGCTCTCAACAGTTGGCTACAAAACTGCATCCAGCAACCACGGGAGCGATCCAAGGGCAGAAGGGCATTCTCCCCTCGTCGTGTCATTGCCCCTCAAATTTTTGTTCTCTGTCGTGATTGGTCGGCTGGGATCAAAGCTTTGCCATCTGAGGAGCTTAGTGATGCCATCAAAGCCTTCTTATCTGATCTGCGCCATTCGATTGGGCAACAAACAGAGGAACAGCAGAAGAAACACAGGACACCTAATTCAGGCGACAATGAAGATTTAGATGGTAAAGATGAAGAGAAGAATGATGACGGGTCTTCGAACGTGGGCTGCATACATTCAAGTTTGACAAAGGTTCTTGACAGACTGACCAAGTTCTCTGAGGCTTCGCTGAAAATGTATTTAGATATTCAGCAGAAAAGTGAAACTGCTCGAAGTGCATATTGCAACTACAAGCCACCTAGATCCTTCAGTATATGAGATCGTCAATGTAGTATAATTTCTGATGTTACTGGTGGAAGTAGATGTTTGTTAACTTCATAATTTTTGCAAGGTTCTATTGTGAAGAAGATATAGAGGAGTTGAGATTGGTTTTCAATCTTGGTGGTGATTACTTTAGCAAATATGTGTGAGATGAATCTGTTGCAGTATCGCGGAACTTTATTGAGTGAAATGCATGTGACGTGAGATATAATAAGAAGTCTGACTTACAGAACAGAATTTAAGCACACCATTTAATACAGTTATAGACGGAACAGATAGATACAGGACGGGAGATATAATAGGAAGTTGAAAAAGATGATACATTTAGGCTATGATACAAAAAGTTACTAGTCAATTCTAGGACGGTGATTTGTACAACTCAATGATTTGGACAATTCGAGGTCAACTTCTTGGAAAACTAGTGATTTTGGCCGAAATATTGCCAAACTGAGTAATCCTTCTCCTTCATGTCTGATTGGATTTTGGGGATTAGTGCAAATTCGATAAAAACTTTGATCTGAAATCTGCGTTGGTGATGTGTCTGTCTAGTTTATAGTTTATGGTGGCATTTTTCAACAACACCGAGCAAATCACCCAAACTCAACGTAAAATAGCGGGTTATATTTGACTATCTCCTCGTATAAAAATGATATGATCTGTTAATATGAATAAATAAAAGTATATTTGATAACGTATTTATTTTTATATTTTTTTTAAAAAAAAATAAAATAAAATAAATTTATGTTTTTTGTGATAAAAATTAAAAATATAAAATATGTTTAGTAATTATTTATATTTAAAAAATTATAAAAATAAAAATAAAATATATGTTTGATATTATAACAAAAATTCACCGCCAACACCGCCACCAACCACCCAGCAGTCAACCACCAGCCACCACCAAACACCCACCACCACCACAACCCCTAAAATTCACCACCCCTCACCCCGAAACAAACCACCACCGAAACCCACCCCCTGAAACCCAGCCCCACCCAGCCCCAGCCCCATCCCAATCGGCGGAAACCGAGCACCACCCCAATCAGCTGAAACCCATAGCCACCATCCCCGAAACCTACAACCACCCAACCAACCCCGAAACCCACAGACACCATCCCCGAAACCCCCAACCACCCAACCCACCCCCACCCCCGAAACACCACCACCCAAATCCACTACCACTCTCCAAAATCCTTCACCACCACCAAAATAAAGAAGGTTGAGATAGAGAGAGCGAGGGTGACAGAGGGAGAGGGGGGAGATGGCGTCTAGATCCTTCGATGGTGTTTGGGTCCTTCGTCTTCATCTTCAGCAGAGAGAGAGAGACAACAGAGATATGAGAGGTGAAAGAGAGATGATCTTTTATATACTCTACCAAAAATTCATATTTTATTGTTAAGGTAGATTGAAATCCAAACCTCATTTAATCCCTTTCACCATTACGGATTTTTTTTTTTTTTTATGTTTTCAAAAACATCATTTTGAATGTTTTCATATTTTAACTTTGTTTGTAAAACAGAACAATTAAAAAAAAACATAAAAGCATTCACCAAACATGTTTTTAATTTTTTTTTTGCCAGAAAATAAAAACAAAGAATTATGAAACACTACCTAAATAATGTTTTATGTGCGGGTGATTTCTTGCACAATGATGAGGTAGCAACACTTTGGGTGGCACTCAACAGTCATTCTTTGGTTTGGGGACGGTACCTGACAACCACAAAAATATGTTAGAAGAGAAGCTGGAGATGTTTTCGACGATTCTCCTCTGATGCTAAAGTCATATTTTGAGAAGGGAAGAAGATACAATGCTAAGTGTTAGGTTCTGAGAGCATACGATTATCTCTTGCCTAAGACTATTATTTATACTTTTATGATAGTTGAGTGTGTCTATCAAGAACATCCATATGACCCCCTTTAACGTGAGGGCTCTTAATTGGCTCACCCTTGAGACAATAGGAATGTTTTTTGACCTCGTTAGGTAGTTAGGCGTCAAGTAAAGTGTTCTTTTGACCTCGATTCTTGATCCATTGCATGCATGTCTGTCTTATGCATGTTGATGACATTAATCCCTCGCCCTCCGGATCCTCACCGATAATTAGCACTCGCACTGAACATTCATTGTGAGACTTGACATTTGATAACATGTTACAATAGAATAACTTCTCGGCGTCACATCTTGCACCCAAGAGATTAATATTCAGTCTTCTTGCCCCCCTCCCCCCCCCCCTTGGCATTTAACATTCCTTAATCACTCATCACATGCCCACAAGGAGCATTTATTGAGTTCTCAAGGTCCCTTCTTATAATTGGTTGTGGTGTGCTATTGTACTAAACTTTAATGCCTAGAATAAAAGACTCACGCCTACTGACAGAGAGACACGATTTCTTATAAGACATTCCTTCATTTGTTCTTAGGTGGGCATTTCCACCAATGTAGAGCCATCTAACGACAACTGTCTTTCATTACGTCGACTAATGTGATTGGCGTATAACGTTAATCACCTCTTAGGCTCCTCGGCTAAATCTACATCGATGTTTTGATCTTCTCAACGTTCTTCGGTCTAAACCATGAAGATCCTTTATCAGTGTGTATAACGAATACCGAGGAGATTCTAATGTTCTTTAATTATCACTTATGCACTTGCTGGTAAGGTATACCATGTATTTGTTTTTGATTGGCCTGACAGACCACACCCTGTCATTATACATGAATAACTCTTTTATGACAATAAATACATTTACACTGATCCTTTATCAGTGTGTATAACAAATACCGAGGAGATTCTAATGTTCTTTAATTATCACTTATGCACTTGCCAGTAAGGTATACCATGTATTTGTTTTTGATTGACCTGACAGACCACATCCTGTCATTATACATGAATAACTCTTTTATGAAAATAAATACATTTACCAAATAGTGTGATGAAAAATATATTTTTATTCTATTGTATAAGGTATGTATAACTCTCTTTGCAAAATTAAAGGATACTTTACTTCATTTCTTGCATGTATAGTATATGATAGATCGAATTAGTGTCTCAACATTGTACACGATCAATTCCATGAGTCTATAATTAGAAATAGCTAGTACTCGATATGAGAGTAAAATAATACAATCTCCTCCATTGGGCACCCCTAGGCCTGGTGGGCCTGACCGAACCCAAAATCGGAGATTGACAACCCTGTATAAGTGCCATTGCCGCGCCTAAATTTATTCAAAAATCTGTTTCCCGCCCCAATAGTTGAAGATCCACCTCTCTCTCTCTCTCTCTCTCTCTCCTTCCACTTTCCCTCTAAACAAACACCTCAGAGGATCTCCCATATCTTCCTCCAAGAGGTCAGTGTCCCAATACACTCGTTAGATATTTTCATGCTGTAAAGATCTTTATCATGTAATAATCTTCATTTTACCAACATTTATATATCTGCGTACACGAACACATATGTTTTTTTATTGAATTTGGGTTATCTATGTTATTTGATTTTTTCCATGTTGTAAGATGGGATTTTTGTTTGTGTTTCTGGATCAGGAGGTTCAGAATCTATTAGATTAGTCGGAGCTGTGAAATTGGTTTTGTATTTGTATGCTTTTTTGAAAGTTAATTTCTCACTTTGTTGAGAGGGTCTAATTCCATGAAAGTGAAGCCATGATTCATGGAGAGGAGAATTCGTCCGACGGGTCTTGTAGAATCCGACCTGTTTTAGGAGATGTGACAAATCAATTTGGGAAAAGGGGGTTTTCCACGATTACGGGTAATTTAGGTCTCAAATCTGGAGATAAGTACTGTGGAAATGTTGAAAAGAAAGATGAGGGTTCACAGTTTGTAAAGAAACTATCTCTAGGAGTGGAGTCTTTAGTGAAAGGCAATTGCATAATCAATTGTGTTGATTATGATAAAGAAAGGGGCAAGCAGGGTAGTGTTATGCCAGGACCTTGTAGTGAGATTAAAACCTTAAGTGGAAATGCTATATCTGGTATTTCAAAAATACACAGTGAAATTAGGGAGCCCAGTTTGTCTGATGTCAGTTTGAAACTTGGAAGAGGCATTACTGTTAACCAGAGTACCAAAGAAGTTGGTGGTGTCGTGAGGGACAGTTGTGTCTCTGGAATTTCGATGCCTAAGAGCTCGTGTGATGGTAGCATCCCTGATGCCGATGGAAAATGTGGCACTGATGAAGGAAGACTCAGTATTGACACCACACAGAGTGATAGTCTTCATGAACAATTGACAACTCAAGTTTGTGGCAGTGCTGGCAATGATCTTGGTGTTGATAATTTGGCCTCGAGTCAATCTGGTTCCATTGGGTGCTCAAGATTGCCGGAGTCACAAGAGTCGAAGAATTTTGGCTTAGAGAGATGCACCGGACTAAAGGGTGATGCGTGCTCCAATTTAAGTCCAGCTGATTTGATCAAAACATGCGCTTGTTCCTTTTGCACAAAAGGTAATGGTGAAACTTCAACACACATTGGAATTTACTACTTCAGTTTCAAGATTCCAGGGTTTATTAGTCATAAGCATATGGTATTACTCCTTGTAGAACTTCCTCTTTTTCTTTTTTTGTCATACATATGATCTGTTAACACCTTGATTGTTTTGTGTTGTGGTAATCAGCTGCTTATATTTGGTCAGACCTCCATTACCAGGATATTAAGGGTCGAATAGCTGGTGAGTTACTGCACGTAGTCTATAGTTACTAGCTTGTGTCAATTGGCAGTATTTTTTCATTATAATCTTGATTTCCTAGCATTAAAGAAGAGTCAGAAAGAAGCAAGCATTATGGTTCAAAGAAGTTGCAGGAAACAGGGCAGTGAAAAACCTGGTCAAGGGAACTCCAATGCATTCTCAAAGCTAGAGTCCGATCTCATGGGTCATTGGAGGTCACTCTTTCTTCAGATGGAGGATATTTTTGGCCATGAATGTAGCCAACTTGTAAGTGTAAATCTTGAAACAACTTTTTTTTTTCTCGGTGAATAATTCTCACCATAAGTTGGATATATTGGTATAAGGAATTCATAAAAGCCATAACTACCACTACTTCATGAAGCCTGATAATGATACTCATTGACAACAATATGATTCGCTAACACAGCTATTGCATTTGTTTAGTCTCTTCTGGGACATGAAGAAATGTCATTTACTTTTGAGTTGATAATTCTTCAATCCTTGGATTTACCCCTGATTGATTCATGTAATTTTCTGTGGTTTTTCTTTCATATTTCATGTTCCCAATCCCTAATTCTATGCTCAAACATCAATCAGATTGTTTGATACGTTGGTTTTAGGCTATGTCCAAAGCTCCAAGCCATTATGTTTATTGGCAGTTTCAGTAGCTTTTCTATTTGTTTTCCTATTTTATTTTCAAAGATCTCATATGTGGTAAGTTCTTCATATTCTCATTGCAGGAAGCCAGTTTACTGTCACTGAAAGATTTGAGAGAAAACTGCAAGACAGAACTTGAATCCATTAATGCGTCCCTCCAGATAAACTGTAGCTTGCTTCTGATCCTTTTCATGTTTGTAAGATGTTATTTTGCTCCGATTTTTGGTAATTTGTCTGCTTTTGCTTGTTATAGCACAAAAAATCGAGAGGTCTCTTGAAGTTTATACCAGTTTGACAGATATAACATATCTGCAACAGATGTACCGTTTGATCTTGCTCATTCCAAACAAAACATGTGCACTTAGGATTTTTTTTTTTTTTTCTCTCAGAAAGTAGGATTCTTTATTATTCTGTGTGCTTATATTTTCATTGCATTCATATTGCCAATGGATGATTCTATTGCCTTTAAAGAACTGTGCATTGAATTGTAAGGACATTTGAAATGGAAATCGTTTCTATTTAGTCTGAAAGCCATGTTCTTGCTCACAACTTAAATTGATGATAATTAATATTTTCTGGTGCATACATGATGAATCTTAGAAATTTATTTTTTCTGCACCGGAAAACTATATTCTTGAAGTTTGATTTGAGTAATAGTCATACTCGTCTGAATCAATTTCTTGATAGAAGACATGACATAAATCATGTTTGCAATTTTTTGTTGCTCAAGTCGGGCCAATCTATTGATCAGTTTGTGGACTGAGGGCACAGGACTTGCAAACGACCATCATTTTTATCCATTGAAAGGGACTAACTAG